GGACATTATGCTAAGCTAGACCCGTTTACTACGATAGAGTATCGCAAAACAACGAAAATAACACGTCGTTTAGCGCACTGCGCTACGTACTTCTGTTGAATTTTCGCATCTCCGTAATCAGAATAAGCCTCGCCTTCTTCGTTGATGGACATGAATGGGGCTGTGTTTACTTTTTGTAAATAAGGAAATGCCCGGCCGATGCTAGACTGGTACCCGTTCGCCACCTTCACTCCGGCAAGTATCCTTCGCTACACTGACGCTGTTAGTGTAGCGTGTGGAACTGTCGAACGGGTACCAGTCTAGCATCGGCCAGGCATTTCATTATTGACAAAAAGTAAACACAGTCGGTATAGGAACTGGTCACGTCGGTGACGCCGCATTCATGTCCATCAACGAAGAAGGCGGGGCTTATTCTGATTACGGAGATGCGAAAATTCAACAGAAGTACGTAGCGCAGTGCGCTAAACGACGTGTTATTTTCGTTGTTGTGCCAAACTCTATCGTAGGAAACCGTTCTAGCTTAGCAGAATGCCCTAGTTCCTGAGATCGGCGATTTGGTACTGTGATGGGTGCCCACCTATAAAAATTCAAAGGGAGGTGCGGCGTAGGCTGTGATTGGAGGACACAAAGTGTCAATCTTCGGCTCGCCCTGGCATCATAGCCGCATCACGTCAAGTCTATGCGAGCGGGTCGTACAGAATTATCGACAATTTACTATAACTGCGGTCGAAACTTCGGCTGATCCCACTCGACAGAGAATAACGTCTACCCCTTTCCTAACCAGCATCTCGCTAGACCAAAACTGCGATTATTAGCTTGATAAATACAGTGCGTTTATCTCATTATAACTATTATAGACCATTATATAATGAGACAATAATTATACCTTATGTAATTACACTATAAGTTTCACTCGTGCTTCTTATAGAATGTGTTATTTAGCTATTCGTCTGTGAATTATTGCCACGTCATTCCCGATGATAGTAGGTAACGTAAATTAAAAGAATCGACAGTGACTGGATATGAGCGCAAATATCTCATTTAATGATATAATAATTGATCGTTACTATACAAGGTCAATGAAGATCATCTTTGACGAAAGGCGATGTCATATGTGGA